GCGGTGGTGTGGCCCGAGCTGCCGAATCGCTGGCTGCCGACGTCTCGGCCCACCCACGCGCCCGCCTCCCGGATAGCCAGACGTCAGAAGGGCGGAGCTTGGCGAGCTGGCGGCCGCGGGGGCGAGATGCAGCCGGGAGCTGTGGCGCCTAACCGCTCCCCGAGGGCTCGCTGCAGGTCGCAGCTACCGCTTCAGTGCTGCTGCTGTTGAGCTGGCCTTATCAGTTCAAGGCTGTTTCGGAAGTCCCGCCTGCTATCTGATTCTAGCACTAGGGGACCAGCCTACGCCGGCCCCTGGACTGCCTCCCCAGGACGCTACCCCAGATCGAAAGTTCTCCTGGGGTCATCTTCTAGGCCCCCAGCAAGGATAGTCATCTTTGAACTTCACTAAACATCCTTTGACTCGAGCATCCTTTCCCTCCAGGGAAGAGCTTCTCTGACGTTATCTTGCCTCTGGCTGCCTACAGACCCCTCCCTCTTCCGAGATAGGAAAGGATACTTCAGGGCTCCCATTTTCATGATGCTGAAACGACAGTCTACAGCTAAGGGAAAGTCCCCCAAGTGCAGTGACATCTTACTACAAATACCATTCCCAAGATCTCTGACGTTGCTGTTAAGAATAAAATTCTGGCAAACTGTCCTTGGGACTTCAAAGGGACAGACCGAAATTGTAAATGAGCCACGACAAACTATCAAAGATATATAACCAAAAAACAAAGGACCAGTATTCTTCCTGTTGGTGGAAGTATGCTCATGATGACCGTATCACTTCATATGCTATTTTTCCGTAGAGTCAAACTTTATAAACTTTAGTATGCAGCAGAATCATCTGGGCTCCCTGTTAAAATATGGGTACCTGGAGCCACAATCCCCAAATACTGTAATTTGGATCTGAGTGGGGCTGAGAATTTTGAATTTCTTAAAAATATCTATTTACTTATGCATACAGAACTGGGGTACAGGCCAGAGGTACAGAGGCAGTGAGAGGAGGTATAGGGGAAGTGAGAGGATTCACCAGAGACAGAGCCAGGAGCACAACAGGCAGATGGAGAAAGTTCAGGCCTGAGGGGAGCAGCCCACCAGACAGGAGAGGACTGCTGCGCATGTCATGTGGGTCAGCTCGCTGGCTGGGGATCAGGATCTAACTCGCTGAAGGGGCTGATGTTAGTGGTGCTGCGTTTTAACCCATTGTGCCACCAGAGAGGCCAAGAATTTTGAATTTTTAGTAAGTATCCCAGGTGGCACCCAAGGAGGCTGGAGGCCCACATTTCGACAGCATAGAGCTCCAGCTTCTGTATGTTACTACTCTGAAGTGGAATTCTCATCCAATTTCCATCAGGCTCACCCACTTACATATAATATGCCTATAAATATTGCCATGGCAGTCAAGTAACTTCCTTTTCCAAGATTGACCTAGAAAGTTTGGGACTTCAAACAACAAGTGTAATTGTCATGTTTATTTTATAAGATCTTATTGTAATACCAGGAATAAGTGATCATTTGTCAGCTATGTAATGCATTTGGGACCTACAGTGTGTGGAGCACTGTCATCCCTCTTAGGGTTAACACAAAAGAAATAAAGGGAATAATCCTCCCTGCCCTCAACACACTTGGTTTCTAGTTGTAGAATTCAAACAGACTCAATAAAAAGTCAGTGTAGCACATAAATTAATCTATTGGAGCAAAATGAAAACAAACAAATTTGTAATTAAAGAGTAATTTTGTCAATCGCCTTACTTGACCCAGACCTTTTCAATTAGGCATTTTCTCCTGAACTCAGTCTTCAGCTTACTGTCTGCCACCTTTACAAAGTATAGAGGAAAAAGCCTGAAGCTATCAGTTCTGTTGTATGTATGAATATGTTGAATGTGTATATAATATAGATTAAGAACTAGAACAACTAACAATACAATGAGACCAAGACATTACTTGAATGTTTCAAGATCTTCATCATTTAATCTATTCAGTAATCTCACAATTCTAGGTACCTTTTATCACCTACCATATCTCACTTTTTCCTCCACACCTAACTACACCCAAGGTGAAGAGAAATCACACCTTCAAAAAGGAAGCCAAGTATATCCACACTATTTCTAACTTTTTTTTTCATTATTTTCCAGATCAAAACAAACCTTTAATTCCATTTTTAGAAGGTTTATTTATGCATACGAGAGCTAGGGTATAGGCCAGAAGTGCAGGGTGGTGAGAGGATTCACCAGAGACAGAGTGGGAGCAGAACAAGTAGATTAACTGAAATACACTGTTGGGGGGAACAGCAGGTGGGATAGAAGTGGTCTGCCGCACCATCTGGGTCAGCTCCTGGCTGGTTCTCAAACTCCTGACTGGGGATCAAACTCAAGCTCTAGTGGCTGCAGATAGCTTCATAGTGTTGCAACTTAACTCCTTGTGCCACCAGGGAGGCCCTTTAATTTCTTGTCATTAGAAATCCTCCAGAAGAAAAAGGAACTCTCCTGCACTGCTGGTGGGAATGCAAATTAGTACAACCACTATGGAAAACTGTTTGGAGATTCCTCAAACTGCGAAATATGGAGCTTCCGTACGTCCCAGCAATCCCACTCCTAGGTATTTACCCAAAAGACACAAAAATACTGATTGAAAAAGATACCTGCACCCCCATGTTCATTACTGCTTTATTTACAATTGGAAAAACTTGAAAGCAGCCCAAATGCCCAAAAGTAGATGACTGGATTAAAAAGATGTGGTACATATATACAATGGAATATTACTGAGCAACCAAAAAAGAGAAACACATGTCTTTTGCAGCAACTTGGATGGAGCTGGAAAAGATCACGCTTAGTGAGATAAGCCAGAAAGAGAAAGAAAAATAACGGATGGTTTCACTCATAGCAGGAGTAGAATGAACAGGTGAGAAAATAATAAGAATAATGAACAGCCATATACCAGAGACATTTTGTGGGGGTGGAGTGGGGAATGGGATCAAAAACGGGGGTTTGGATGGGTAAGGAAGGGCACAGGACTATGGTGATGGCACACGGGTGACTTGGTGATAGGAAACCCGCGGGGATTACAACTGAGATGGAAAAAAATGTACAAAATGATGTAAAAATAAACTGTTATAAAAAAAAGAAAGAAAGAAATCCTCCAGAGCCACTACCAAGGAGCAAAACATTTCCCTAGCCAACGGCCTGACATTTTAGAGAGAACATTTGCACCACTGTTTACTAGTTAGGAAGACAGGAGATGATTATTCCTGTTCTACAGATGGAAAAACAGATGCAGGTTAAATCCACTTGTCCAGTCACACAAGTGATTAGTAGCACAGAGCCTGAATCTCCAACACAGTTCTGACTTCTAGACTGAATGCATATCACTCCATCAGGTTTCCTTGGTAATAATTCCTGCAAGTGCCAATCCAATTAGAACCAGAATAGATAAAAACATGAAAATGGAAAAGAGGAACATGTACAGTGCAATTTACAAATTCAAAATACAACAGAAAAGACTTTAAAGTAGAAAAAAATGAAAAAGTAAAGAGGGAAAATAAGTATTAATAAAAAGGGGTGTTAAAACCATGAAAGTTAAATGGTTTAAAGCCAAACAAAATTCAACAAGGAAGTTCCGTTAGCAAGAATTCACATGCAGGCCATGTTGATTTTACTCTCCTGGAACAAGAAGCTGAAACAGATAGTTGAGCTGCTCTTGGCATTAGTTATTTATGGAAGGGCAGAAAGCAACTGTTCCTTCATTGACTATAGAACAAGCCTCCATGTGTTAAACATAAACATACTTCAAGGATTTGTAAAATAATAATTTCCTCCTGTGGCCCAGGTAACAGGACTCTACAGTAATACGCACATAGACAAGTTCTGTTCTGTTTTCTCATTTGCAAGCTCTTATTTCTTTTCAACCCCAACAATCAGATGAAATGGTATCTTCAATGGCATGTCTGAAACAACTGGTGAAATGGGAAACCAAGACAGATAATGATCTCATTGTGAACATAAATAATAACCCAAGCCACTCCTTTCAAAAATAGGCATAAACTAGATTTAAAAATTTTTAGGAACTATTTTTTATGTGTTCTAATAACCATTTCTTTTCATCCCAGTACATTATTCAGGTTTTAAATTCAATGTAAAACAAAACAAGTAAAACTACACTACAACTAATGTGTCTGGATGGAAAGAGACAGAATTGTAAAAATTCAGTTCTGGGCCCTCCCTGGTGGCGCAGCGGGTTAAAGCACTGCACTAAGAAGCTCACTCCACTTCCGCATGAGTTCTATCCCCGCCTGCCCCGGAGTTGCCCCACATGGCGTGGCAGACCTCTCCTGACCCGCCCGCTGCTCCCCCCAGCAGTGTACTTCGTCGATCTGCCTGTTCTGCTCCCCACTCTGTCTCTGGTGAAGCCTCTCACCGCCCCTGAGCCTCTGGCCTGTACCCCAGTTCTGTATGTACAAGTAAATAAATCTTAAAAAAAAAATCTGAAAGGAAGTTAATGCTGGTTATTTTTGTTCACCTTCGTTAGTACTCTTATCCAGTAATGTTAGGGGGGAAGATACTCATCAATTTCTCAACATCTTAAATCACAATTTCATTCTTCCTTTCGCACACAAGTTTTCATTATCTTCTACACTTAGTAGACGGGTCAAATAACAGCAAAAGTTTTAAATGTTCCTTGCCTGTAATCTTGGAGTATTATAGCTGGAATGCCACAAAGAAGCGGAGTGGCAAGAAAATGACTTGGGCCCTGGATGTGACCTATCCAAGTTACAGAACCTCATGTGTAAATCAGAGATAGCAATGGTACCTCATACATAAGGCTCTTCTGGGGGTGGAATAAATGAAATCATGCTCATAAACTGCCTCAAAACAATTGCTTAGAAAATATTAATTACCAAGTTTGACCTCCTG